GCTGTTCGTCAATCAGCAGATCACTTTCCAGGGTTTATAATCCCCGACTGTTTGTAGAACACTGGCTGTGGCTTTTCAACCACAAAGTATACAGTCAATTCACTGTACAATATATTCTGTGAAGCACTTTGAGATGTCTCAATGATGTAATATGGCGCTATATCAGATGCAAGGATTATTATTATAGGATGTTTAATGTCCACTTGAATAGGTAGACAGGACCTTGGTTACCATCAAAGTAACCTTCGGATGATGGTAAGCTCTTCAAATGAATGAAGGTCTTCCTCAGCATTGTACTGGTGTCTCAGCCTAGAATGTGAGTTCAAAGTCTTCATAAGGGATTTGAACCCACAACCTTCTGTTTCATTGAGAGTGCTACCAACAGAGCCGGATTGACTTTGGATTTCGGGGGGGTCTGTATTGAGCTATTTCTAGTAGATAGAGTTAGTGAAGTGACTTCTTTGAGCATGTAGGTATTGCAAGGATTGATAGGCCAAATAATTTTTCATGCTTTCCTTATCTTATGATAACCCACACATTATTATTACTGGCTGCAGTCCAAACTCCTCTCAACAACTGTAGTGTATTGGTTAGAGCACTTGCCTCACAAACGAGAAGACCTGTGTTTGATTCCTGGCCGGGGTGAAAGTGAAACCTTAGGCAAGTTTCCTTACTCCACATGCCACTCTTTACCTCGCAGTAAATAAGAACCTGATTGTTAGTCGAATGGTGGATTGCTTTCCGGGGTAGTAATCCTCAAAAAAAAATGCTAGTCACTCCATATCAAATGCAAGAAATCACATGTTGGCCTAAAAACTGTGGGTTGTGTAATTATGCAATGGTGGGGCCCAGTTGGCAGAGTGAGACCGAGGAAGGAACCTGGGAGTGGTGGTAGATTCATCAATGTCATAACTTTGAACAAAACCATGAGAAACAAAGAAAACAGAACGGCAGAGTTCAGGTCTCCTGAGGTTACGCTGAGGAGCTACAATGCACTGGTCAAACCACAAGTGAATTACTACATTCATTTCTGGTCACTGTGCCACACACAAAAAAATTGGTTTTGGAGAAGATCCAAATAAGAGCAACGGCACTGATCCCAGATGTAAAGGGATCGAGCCGGGGGGGGAGGAAATGAAATAAAATTAATCACTAAAGTCTATAATAATAATAATCCTTGTATTTGATCGCACCTAATCACGTCACAGAGACGTCTCAAATTGCTTCACAGAATATACTGCAAAGTGAATTGATGGTATATTTTGTGGGTGAAATGCGGTAGCCAATTGCGCACAGCAGTGTCCCACAAACAACCGTGGATGAGTGACCAAATGATTAATTTCTTTTGGAGGGATTATTACCCCGGAAAAGCAAGCCACCAATCAACTAACAACTGGGTTCCTTCTTAGGAAAAGAAGGTAAACTAGGTAAACAGAGGTGTGTGGAGTAAGAAAACATGCGTAAAGTTTTGCCCTGTCCTAGAAGGAAGGCAGTTGAGGGGGCAATCCTAGAACTATATAAAATATCAAATGTCACAGTTAGGGTAAACTGAACTATCACATGTGATGAAACCAGAAATACAAGACAAGGGCATAACCATTTAAAATAGTGAAGAACCGCTCTAAAATAGATGATTAGGGTTAATGACAAGTGTTTGGAGAAATCACGGGTGAGCACAGATCAATGGAATTTTTTAAAAATATAATACAAAATTATATTTGTATCGCGCCTTTCACGTTGGGTGACATCCCAAGGCCTTGGGCAGTCAGGGATTTGAACACAAGCGGTGGGGGCAGGTGGCAGTGGTAGGAGGGTGGCCAAAGGCACAGTCAAACAAGAGGTCTTCAGATGTGCCTTGAACGAGGCAAAGGAGGGAACGAGACAAAGAGAATGTGGGTTGGAGTTCCAAAAGATGTGGGTGGAGAGACTGAAGGCCCGGCTGCCAATGGAGCGGGCTGAGCAGGGGGCGTGGAGCAGGCCGGAGCATGCTAAGTGGAGGGAGTGGGCCGGTTGATAAGGGGTTAGCAGGTCACAGAGATAGGAAGGGACAAAGCCGTGGAGAGCTTTGAAGGCGCAAATGGGGATTTTAAACTCTATCCTCTAAGGGATGGGGTGCCAGTGGAGTTGGGCGAGGGTGGGGGTGATGGGGTCACAGAGCCTGGTGCAGGAGAGGACACGAGCTGCAGAGTTCTGGATGATTTGCAGCTTGTGGAAGGAAGAGTTGGGAAGCCGACAACCAAGGAGTTGGCGTAGTCGAGCCTCAATGTGATGAACACGTGAATGAGGGAAACTATGTGCGTAGGACAGAGCACCTGAAGAATGTTCTACTTTTTTCATGTAAAATGACAACAACAAACACTTTGATGTCCAATAGAGCATGGTCAAAGTGCAGAGTGAGAGTTTACATTATTCAACATGCCTTAAATCCAATCACAAAAGAGCTCTCCATAATGCACCACTATGACCTATTTCCAGGTCAGTTCTGAGGCTTGAGCATCTAATCCCTCCATTCACTTAGAAATGGGTTAACACCACCAAATTCATTTCACTAGGATTTTCACGTCCATCAAAAAGAAGACTTTGATTCTATCAGGTTGAGATGGATTCAGTCACAGGTCCAAGAGGTGAAAGTGCCAACCCGCTATGTCATTTTGAGAAGTCACACATAAGTGTATGTCAATCAGCTTCGATCAACAGTAATCAAAGCAGCTTACTAAACAGTGATCCATGACTTCCACCACATTCACAGAGCCATTATACCATGCAAAAACCAGTGAAAGATGTACTGTTGTCTGTAACCTTCTGCTTTGGACACAGTCCTACAGGTTCAACAACAACAACAACAATTTATATAGTGCCTTTCATCTTGGGAGGACACCCCAAGGTGCTGGATAGTTGAGGGCTTTCACCTAATCTGGAGGTTCGATTTGAGAGGGGTAGGGTGGAAGGGAGGGGGAGGAAGAAGATGATCCTGAAGATGAAAGAAGGTCTTGAGACGGACGTTGAAGGAAGCGAAGGAAGGGGCAAGGCAAAGGGACTCTGGGATGGCATTCCAGAAAGTGGGGGCATAAAAGTTGAAGGCCCAGTGGTCAATGATGGGGTGGGCAGACCGGGGGACATGAAGCAGACCAGTGTCTGCTCAGTAAAGGGAACAGGGTTTTAGAGGTTATAGCAGTAAGAATGCGGCAAGATCATGGAGGGATTTAAAACTGAGGACAATGATCTTGAGCCCAATCCTCTGAGGGATAGGGAAATAGTGGAACTGGGTGAGGATAGGGTTGATAGGCCCGCGGAGCCTGATGTAATATAGGACACGAGCTGCAGAGCAGTTTGTGAAGGGTTGGGAAATCCAGCAAGCAGAAAGTTGGCATAGTCAAGCCTAAACATGATATAAACGCATGGATACGATCTCCTCTCTCAGAGACGGATTCAGAGAAAATGTTTTACAGAAATAGCAACAACGAAATTAATGTAACACATCTGCATCAAATGGATTACAAGACTTTTTATTTAAATTAAGTAATAAACAGTAGTTGCTTATAAAGTGGCAAAAACAGCAGAAACATTTCAACTCTTATTTTCTTTGTTCATTAAATCTGTTAAGTCTTTAAACTCAGTTGGGAGATTTGACATATTTGAAAGGGAATTTTATTTTTGACAGGCTTGTATAATGCATTTTGAATTGACTCCAAACTTTCTATAGAGTAATTTCTTTGGCGGTCTGAACTCCTTTGTTGTTTTGCACACAGGCATCTCTTCTATCATTCAACATCTGCAGTAGATTTCTAATGCAAACTATTATGAAGCAGAAATAGAGAAATGTATGGAAAAGCAAAGCATGCCCTTACTTCAATAAGAAACTGTGGACAGGTTCTGTGGCTATCCATTAGTCAAACATATACCATCATAATCCTCAGTGGGACACTTGCTGCAATTTTGTTTTCTTTTCGGAAAATGTCATTAATAATTAATGTGAAAGAATGTCTCCCTTCTTTGGAATATTGCATTTTTCCTTTTCATGCTCGTTGGCAAATCAAGGAATGCAGTAGTGATAATGCAGCTTAAATTCAGAATCCAGAGGTATCTTTATAGCCCGTATTCAAAGACTTCAAAAACACAGCAACAAACGTACATGCTAGAAACTATACATCAGACATATTTAGTCATCAACGATTAAGTAATGTCATAGAAAAACAAAACCGATGCAAAGGAAACAAAAAAAGGACAAACAATTAACTATGATTAGCCCGATTATAAATAGATTCACATTAATCTTTGACCATTTTAAATACATGCCTCCTGAAAATATAATAAGTGCAAACAAAAGGTGCTTACCATAGGCAGCTTGCTAACAGCTTCTAACTGTGAAGCAATGTCCATTAGAAATCCCAGTCAAACACAGTTGTGTGCAATTCTTATCATTAATCTTTCTTGCAGACTTTTACCAGCCAATGGACCAAACAAGAGAATCAAATGTGAAAAAGAGGGGATGGGGGGGGGGGGGGGGGGAAGAACCAGCTTCTAAAATGATTTAAATATATTTTGTATAAAAAGATTGTATAACGAGTTTCCAGTGGAACTCTGCGTGCATGACACCATGTGCCTGTTTGTGTGAGAGACAAGTGGCATCTAATAGCAGAGAAAATATATGAATTTCATTTTGCGATAATTTAAGAAAAAGGCTGTAGGTAAACAAAAAAAAGACCCTTTTTTGACACTGACTGCCCTGAGGTTTTATTTATATTCAACATCATAACCCTTCATTTTTTAAAAATCTGCTATTTGTTTTATGGTAATATATGCAATTATAAAAAATATTCATTTGGCACAATTTTTAGCTACCCACATTCATAAGGCATAATGTAATGAAATATATATTAAACACATTGACTTTTTTATTAAATAACTGTAAATACACCCATAACCTGTACTTAGCCCACACTGTTAATAGTTTGCTACAATGAAAATAAATGTGAAATTAAACAAACAAATCTACTTACTGTGCTTTTGAATTATTTGGGGCACAAGGTTGCCATACCCATAGAATTCTAGGAAGGGGGATGCCATAGGCAGTGCATGACAGAGTCTGTTTGCTGCCCAGTGGGTAGAGATCAAGATCCTGAAGGAACAGTGCCTTTTCACATATATGTGGTTTGACTGCAAAAACAAATTCATTACATAACTAGAAGCCCCCCAAAAAAGGAACGACTCAAACTGGCGCACTGTGATAAATTACACACTGCTGCAATGTCCACATTCTCCGAGCCTTACGAGATAAGAGTACCATCATTGCAGTGTAACACATTTATGCTCTCTGCCCTGTTTGCCTGAACACAAATCTTTGGGGATATATATGTGTGAGATAAGTAGCACTTTTCACAATTACTCTGGACACATAGACATTAGAAACACAAGGAAAGTTCGCTGCCCTACAAAAAAGTGTTTGAACAATCCATAGAATGTATGTTACAGCATTAAAAGGAATGAACGAATAATAAACAAGTGTTCAGTGTTCCGTTAGTTCAGCATTTCCTTATTAGTCTTCTGCTCTTAACGAGGACATGAACCCCTCTTGGTAATGTTTTACAAGTCCTTCATATCAAACAGTAAAACTCATCTGCTGTCATTCTGATTGGAGCAATGTTGTGTGTTCCTTAAGTTGGTGTGTGGGGGAGGAGATGATGGTTTCTGAGTCTGCATTCAGTCTCCTGTCAGACTGGTTCACTGGATTTGGGCCTGGGTTCTTGTGACACTCATTGCAGTAGATGAACACTTTGCTTGTCTCAAAACACAATTTCACAGTTTTCAGAAGTGTTACAAACGAAGCGGGGCCTGTGACTGTGCTGCAGGTTGCCACGGCTGAATGCCGGACCTCACTCATTGGTGACTGGGCAACCGTGACGTGCTTCTGTGGCTGTCATTCCTGTTTTTGGGCGGTTTCCTCAAGGATCGTTGGGTTCCACTGTGGAGCTTCTTTGCTCTTTCAGGGCAGCTTTTATTCTTCGCATTGCCTGTCTTCCTGTACTCGTTGATAACGGAGCTCACCGCTGACTTTGGTATCCCAGTCCTTTTGGATATTTCACGCTCAGACTTTTTACACAGATGGTACTCAATAATGGCAGCTGTTTGGAACACTGACAGCTCCTTCAGTCTTTCCTTGCTGAGTAAAGCCGAAGCACCTAGGATAGCAAGAACGTGTTTTTTTATAGGGTCCACAGTTGTTCTAGAACATTCTCTAACACTTGTGCAGAGAGGACAACAATTTCATCGGTTGTTGAACTCTACAGGGATTGTCCAAATACATTTTTGTAGGGCAGTGCACAACATTATAATTATTATACATGCAAAATTATTTTTTAAAAACGCTTTCTATTTAAATGCCTTCTTTGAAACAATCATATGCAAAACTACTCAACTTTATGTTTAAAAGAATCACTTGTTAATCTTAAGAAAGATGAACTAACCTAAACTTGATCAAGCTTCCGTTTCTATTATAACTTTGATATTACAGTAAGTTGGATTTTTCTTGGTCAGACATGAAGCTTTATACAGTGAAACCTGTCAACAGCAACCACCAGTGACTCCAAAAGCAAAGGTGCTCATTCACAAACAGATTAGGCTCTTCTGTCAATCTGGCTGCTCCCTCCTCTCAGCGGATTCCAGCCTGCTTCATATCCCCCCACCTTGCCCACACCACCATTGATGGGCGGGCCGTCAGCCTTTCTGCCCCCGCCCTCTAGAATTCCATCCCGCAGTCCCTTCACTTTGCCCCTCCCTTGCCTCCTTCAAGACCCATCTCTAGACACTCCTCTTCAACCATGCCTTCGGTCACCCTCCTACCCCTACCCTCCTCACCTTCTACCCCTCCTGATCCCAACCACCAGCTTGGGTGCAGATCCCTGACTGTCCAGCGCCTTGGGACGTCCTCCTGACGTGAAAGGCAGTATACAAATGTAATTTGTTGTTGTTGTTCTGCATGGCTGTAATTTGTGAAATGTTGGGATACAACACAATCCATGTACCATGACTTCTGCTTTTGCCACCAGAAGGCCATTAAGGCAAAAAGGAGCACATTTTCTTTTTCTTTCCCTTTGCACGTTGGTCTGTCACTTTTTACTCATATCTTCCAGCATCGGGTTAAGTTCTTTTGTCAACAGCAACTCCTCCAGTGCAACTTGTGGCAGTCATTTCAGGAAAGAAGTTGTCAGCCACCACGAGCCGATCAGACGCTGGTCGCTGTGGACGGACGGGCTCTTACGGATTGAGAATCAGAGATGAGTTGGAAATACAAGGTCCCCGTTGCCTGGTTTTCCTACAATGAAAGTCCACGGGGGGATTCTGATGGTCCCGAGGATTTTATTTTGACAGGTAGTCCTCGTTCACAGGTGGTAACTCAGACTGGTTTCACTGTATGCAGCAATGCTACCAAGCTGGTTTTGACTATTGGGATTAGTTCTGATGCAGTGAATGTCTTCCAGTAAACTTTCAACAAGATACTAAATCTATTATTTTATTAAGAAAACTAAAACAATTTTAAGATCAGATTTGCACACTGGATTCAAATGACTAGCAAATGTGTAAGGGTATGTGCAAGCTATGCTATTGCCTTTTTTTTGGTCTTAACGTTCTTATTCTAAAATTCATAATTCTGTACTGGATAGATTCTTAGACACTAACAAGTATATGCTTACTGACGAAGGCACAATTCTTAGATATAAACAACCACCAATCACTCAGAAGAATAGGAAAATCAGCAGTACTTTAAAAGCATTTTCAGGCAATAATCACAGGAGTTGGTAACTGGATTATCTGCTTTGATGAACCACTGCTGGGAGGTGTGAATATGTGGACAGAACTAAACTGTGCTGTGAAGCTCCTGTGGTTGAATAGCCTCTGGAGGGTCACAAGCTCATATGTGGCTTTTAGACTGAGGTACTGGGATTCATGGAGTGAATGGCTAATTGGAGAAAAATCACTGCAACAACTGCAGTTGCTTAGTTGAAATTTACACTTCATTCAACTCAGCTCTTTTCCTCTTTCTAACATTTCCTGTGCTAAAAAGATGTGTCTACTGCTTTGTGTCCCTGTATGTTTCTCTGCGTTCCCCTGTGTTTTTTTAAATTCCCACAGCACTTAGGAGAACCCAGGAAGTTACAATAAATCCAGGGCCATGCCACACTTAGATTCAGAGATTTTGCGGGTGAAACGCGGCAGCTAATTGCGTACAGGAGTGTCCCACAAATAGTTGTGAATTAAGAAACCAAATTATTATATGTTTTTTAAGGGATTATTATTACCGGAAAAGTGATCTGCCAATCGAGCGCAATCACGTTCCTGCTTACTGCTAAGTAAACAGAGGTGTGTGGAGTAAGGAAACTTGCCCAACGTTTCGCCCTGCCTGAGAAACGACCGAGGTTCTCTCGCTTGCGAGTGCCCTAATCATTAACCTACAGGACACCATCTAGAGATTTTTCCAGTTACTCTGAAAGAACTCTGTTTGATCCTTATTCCCCTCAATATGTGTCTTAACCGTTGTTACATTGCCTACATGTGTGAGAGCATGCAATTAGTCTACTGCTCAAACCATGCGGAAAAAGGGAGAATGGCATAGTTCCACTCAAGCACGCTCTACTGCATGTATTGAATCACAATTGACCAGTCTCTTGTACTGCCAATAATTTCCCTACTGATTGAAAAGAGGTGATGGGGCAGGTCTTTGAAATCAATAGATTGGTACAAGAAGCCTCTTGTGTTTTTGTGAATAAAGAAAGCTTCAGGCTGGAGGCAGTTTACTTAAGTTTGTGTGAAGCAAATCACGTGAAACTCTCTTGAAAACAGTCTTGCCTTCTGTTGATGCTTTCTTGCCTCTGATTTTCTCACCTCATTTTCTGAAGACATTGACTCAAATCCATGGGAGCCGGCCTTCCTTCACTACATTCCAGTGGCTATTCATACCTGAGTCTAGACAGTGAATATTGATCGGCAAGCTATTTGAGTTTGAGGAGGCATATCCTCACCTAAAATCTACACAAACACACTTTACAGCAGGGACCATTTGATGGTGAATATAGGAATGATTTTTGCTTGATTTTTACCCTCCCCAGCCCAGGAATTTCAAGCCAATTGTTTATACGCTTACTTCCAGGCCCATTCAAATCAATTAATTTAAGACAGATCAAGCAACAAACCTAGGACTTGCTGTGTCTGTATCACATTAGTGTTATACTAAACTTTTGGTGTGGACAAAGCAGTAATCTTGGTGCAGCACTGTGACCAAAAATGCATTCAAGTTGCAAATATTTGACATTTAAAATGGTAGTAAAATGAATTCTGGAGTGATTAGGAGCAGTTAGGTCTGACTATCGCTTAGGTTTTTGAAATTTAATGCATTTATTTACTCACCATTTACACTGAGGGAGAGAGTAATATTCTTGTAAAGATTCCATCGTTTAAGCCTCAGCATCATAGTATAACTGCCAGCATCCTCTTCTGAAACATCTCTTATAGTCAATCGTCCGCCAGCAACTTTATAGCGTGCAGATATTTCAGTAAGAGGTAATCCATCCTTTAGCCTGTTGACAACAGAAATTATTGTTTGCTCATCGTTATCACCTAAACCATATATCCAGCGCACTGGGTCCTCCCAAAATGAAACAATAAGAACAAAATTACATTTGGACAGATAGTTACGGACCCGAGCTGGGGGTCGGGGTGGGGGAAGGTGGAGGGCAGGGGGGGGAAGCAGGGAAATCGAAAGCACGGTCGAAAAGGAGCGTCTTAAGCTGGATCTTGAAGGTGGCGAGGGAGGAGGCGAGACGGAGGGACCGCGAGATGGAGTTCCAAAGGGTAGGTGCAGAGTGGTGGAAAGCCCGCCCAATAGTGGGGCGAGCAAGGTGGGGGACATTGAGCAGGCCAGAGCCCGCTGAGCGGAGGGAGCAAACAGGGTGGTAGGGGGTTAGGAGGTCGGAGAGGTAGGGGGGAGCAAGACCATGGAGGGCTTTGAAGGTGAGGACCAAGATCTTGAACTGTATCCTCTGTTTGATGGGAAGCCAGTGGAGTTGGGTAAGGATGGGGGTGATAGGGTCGCGGAGCCTAGTGCAGGAGAGGACATGGGCTGCAGAGTTCTGGATGATCTGCAACCTGTGGAGGGAGGAGTTGGGGAGGTCGACAAGCAGTGAGTTTGCATAGTCGAGCCTCGATGGTGTGTATAAGGGTATCGGCGGTCTGCGGTGTGAGACAGTGTCGGAGTCGGCGACGTTGTGGAGATGGGGGAAGGCAGAGCGGGTCATGGTGTGGATGTGGGGTGGAAAGGATAGTTGAGGGTCAAACAAGACCCCAAGGTTCGGACTGGCTTAGCAAGGTGGAGTGTGCAACCATGGATGGTGATGCTGTCAGCGCCTGAGGTGAGGAGACACTGACGGGAGCCAATCAGGAGAGCCTCGGTCTTGTGTCCATACAGATGTAATTTGTTGTTATTATATGTGCACATCAAGCTCAGTGGATCAATCTAAATTGACTTGGAGACAGAGGTTCTGACTCTGAATTCCAGTGGGCACTCAGTCTTTCATCCTCTGAAAGCTGATTGGATCAGTACTGAATCTGAAGTAAACTGGGGGCAGAGATTCTCTCCACTCAACTCGTGTTAATCCAGGAAGCCAAAGCCCTAATGTGTCGGGTGGTACTAACTGTAGAAACAGTGGAAAAGCTTGCCAGACAGCAATATCAATGGCAAGCTATGGAGTTCTAGCTGGTTAGACCCCAGGACTACCCAAACGCACACACTGGGATCCCCAAGCCTTGGCTCTTGCCAACCTTCAGCTAATATCTTTAGAATTAGGAGCGCATATGAGTCTCTCCGGGGAGAGAGTTCACATTCCATTCCGCACACGGAAATTTCCAGACATGGAACTCTCAGTTTGGTTTGGATACTCTTAAGCATAGTGACAAGTTTCTTTATGTGTCAGACACCCAGCTGACCAAAAACAAAGAGCACTATGTGAATCGCTTCTGCATGAATTGGAGTAGGGGTGGTGATTTGTGCTGGAGCCTGAGTACTGAGACCATCAGGAGGAGGTTATTTTGTCAAGATGTTGATTCACATGACAGTAGTGTAAACACTAGAAGTGCAAATCTCTTCAACCTCAACTAAAAACCTCAACTGTGGAGTCCTGTAGCTCAGTGGTTAGAGCGCTCGCCTTGCAAGCGAGACACCTGGGTTCAATTCCAGACAGGGCGAAACCTTAGCCAAGTTTCCTTACTCCACACGGCTAATAATAATCCCTCTAAAACAAAAAAACAATAATAAATTGGTCATTTTCAATCCACGACTGTTTGTGGGGACACTGCTGTGCGCAATTGGCTGCCGCGTTTTGCCCATAAATATACAGTCAATTCACTTTACAGTGTGTTCTGTGAAGCGCTTTGGGACGTCCTCCCGATGTGAAAAGCGCTATATCAAATGCAAGGATTATTATTATTATATTCTGTGAAGCGCTTTGAGACGTTGAGAAAACGTGAAAAGCGCTATATCAAATGCAAGGATTATTATTATTATTATTAACAAATGTCCCCTAGAAATGGACTTGAGCAGAAATCCACAATTTATTGTTTTAAAATGTAATTTTCTCTTTGACCGTGCCTTCAGCTCCCCTCTCGACTCTCTTCCCCCTCCTCGCTCCCTCCCTTCCCTCCCCTCACCCTGACCATTTCCCCCCTCCTCGCTCCCTCCCTTCCCTCCCCTCACCCTGACCATTTCCCCCTTGCTCGGGTCATGACCCAACTGTGCAGCGCCTTGGGACGTCCTCCTGACGTGAAAGGCGCTTTATAAATGGAATCTTGTTGTTGTTGTTGTTGTAAGACCATGCAGAATTCTGGACAATTTTTAAATTCAGTTGTAACTTGCAAATTGGTTTACCACCATTCTCTTATGAAACTTACTCTCCCTAGACACACCCTGACTAATTCAAGGGTGTATTAATAATAATAATAATCCTTGTATTTGATATAGCATCTTATCACAAAGCTCTTCACAGGTTCTACAGTAAAGTGGATTCACTGTGTATTTTGTGGGAGAACACGGCAGCTAGTTTGCACTGAGCAATATCCCACAAACATGGAGTGAGTGACCAATTTTATTTGGGGGACTGTTGGCCAGGGCACTGGAAGATACTCTCTTCTTTTTTCGAATAGTGCCATGGGATCTTTAACATTCACCTGAACAGGCAGATGGGACCTCAGTTTAACATCTCATCCAAAGGATGACACCTCCGACAATGCATTATACCCAACTGCATTGGAGTATTAGTGTTAGTTTAGACCTAATAGCCCTAACTATTAGGCACCAGGTTCGCTACAGCTAAATCTTGGGGTCCCAGAATGTACATTGCAGTACTGCTAGAATTCAACCAGGTAAAACTGCATTTCTGTAAATTTGTCATTGTCTGACAAGCTTCCTACAGTTTGTCCAACTAGGACCATCCTACCCGTTAGGGATTTGGCTTGCAATAGGAGCCAAGTAGGCAGAATACCTACTCCATGTGCAATAAATCAGATGACTCACAAAAGCTTGATTACTGTCTAACCATGAAAGTTATGAGTAAGCTATGTAATCCACCTCCACTCAATCAATATCCTGTCCATGTCCTCCCTGTCTTTGGTGCAGCTAAACATACAAACCCCAAAACCTCATATTTTTTATTTCCGAAGGGGGAGTGGGAGGAGAATTGTGTCATGAGGCCTTCTACAGCCAGACAAGAGTGTAAAACAGAATTTAGCCCATCACACCAAAAATATCAGGCTGTTTGTAGCACACTTGCCTCAAGGTCAGAATATTGTGGGTAAAACCCCACGTTAGGACTTTGAATTCATATAGTTTACGCTGACACTCCAATGTAATGCTAGGGTGCACTGCATTGGTGCAGTGTGGTTCTTTGGATGAAATGTTAAAGATCCCATGGCATTATTCGAAAAATGAAGAGAGTTTCTTCCAGTACCCTGGCCAACAATCCCCAAATAAAATCTGTCATTCGCTTCATGGCTGTGTGTGAGACTTTGTTGTGCGCAAATTGGCTGTCATGTTTGCCCAAAAAACACACAGTCACTACACTTTGCTGTATATCCATTGGAGTGCTTTGGGATGTCCTCCCGATGTGAAAGGAGCTTTATCAAATTTAAAGGTTATTGATGATATTATTATTCCTCCTTATAATCTCTTGTTTGATACTCTGTACATGATTAACATGCTTGGCTTGTCCTTTGCCTGATTGTAAATTACTTTCTTTCGCCATAAACCAAGTAAGCAAATACTAGAACAAAAACAGTCGCTGGGAAGACTCAGCAGATTAGGCAGCGTCTATGGAGGAAGGAAAGTGAGTCAACGTTTCAGGTGAGTCAAACGTTGTTCCCACCAACTTCTGTTTTTGTTTCAGATTTCCAGCATCTGCAGTATTTTGGATTTTGTAAGCAAATACTAGGTCTATTTATTTGGTGGATATTCACCCATCCGTGCCTGATATAAATGTAATCTCAGTTGTCACTTACTTTCTAATCCTTGACAGAAAATCACTAAAAATGGTCTCTTTATTACTGTAATAAGTCATTGCTCAAGTCTTTGAATTGTTCAGTTTCATTTTGAAGTGCAGCTTTGTCTGACCTATTTAATTCTGTTGAACAACTACAGTTACATCTGTCTTACTTTTCAGAATCATAATCGTACCCCTAAGTATCCTCAATTTTTCTGAGGCACTATTAATTCATTCATTAATGCTCTGTAGCACGCCATGGCTACCGTCTGCCGTTCTAATCAAACTGCTTTGGCATCGTGTATTGAGCTTGAGGCATGGTGAAGTCATTTAAGAAAGAAAGTCTTCTTTGACTATGTTTTTAAAGGGAAATAGTTCCATTCACACAATGGGGCCTATCAAACGCTGATCGCTAAAAATAACAATCTTTTTGTAAACGAAACAATCGTTATTTTTAAACTGTCCATCGGTCGATGCCAGACCCCAATATTTCTAGAACTCAGTCTTTCTCATCTCAGTGATCTTACCATAAGACCTCCGGAGGCGGGAATGCTTTGACTTTTATTGGAAAACGATACACCCTCTGACCAGCAGTTGCTTGAGTGCGACATGGCTTTCTGCACCGACCACTGATGAATGGCTTTTCTGTAGAGGGATGGATAGAAAAAAAAAGGAATGATAGTGACTCCTTTCAATTGTGTGCCAACATGAGAATCTAGGGTAGAGTAAAGATTCAGTGGTCTAAAATACATTGATTTCTAACAAGATTTCAAGAGCTCCAGGATACTACCCCGTGTGAAGGGGACTAAAGAAATGCAAGTTGCTGTTATTGAGGTCTAGACGCGTGTTGCAAATGGTTCCAGTAAGAGCAAGTACAACCATTCCGATCTACAGATACTCCGGTCTGACCAGATCTACCTCCGTAGCAGAGTTCCTGAGGATGGACATGATATAACTCTCATTCCACTTGCAACTCAGGGTCCTTAGTAAGTAGCCGTTTTGCATTCCAGATCCGTTACCACCACATCACTGTGTTTCAAAATGTAAATAAAGAATAATCAAGCTGTGTTTTTAAATCCAGCATTGTGGCTATCTTGGTAACCTGTTCCACTCATTAGTTATCTTCTAAGCAAAAATGTTTCATGAAATTGCTCTTTGGAACTTAAATCTCTTGTTATGCTTCCATTAAACAAATTGAAAACAACTTATTCACAACTGTATGCAAACGTATGTTGGAATGTTGCAAATTAACCTGAAAAGCAGTTATTGATCACACGCGAATGACATTGCGTGCATTTCATGCACAAGTGTTTCCGCCCCTTCCTTTAAATTCAATTTGTTTTGCTTTGGTTAAAATTGAGTGAGCTGTACCAGTGTTTTAACTACAATATAATTTAACTATTTTTTTTTAAGCCTGCTTTTTAAAAAAATGTCTGAAATGAGGAATCTTTCACTTCTAATACATTCACATTAAGAAATCTGCTATGAAAATAGTGCAGGGCGCTTTGGGTAATTTGAAAGGCATCATTGGATTGAAGAACACGGTCACAGTAAATCTGTATTAAAAACAGATCCTGTCAGTGCATTTACTTCGAATACATTCTGGACTGGACTCTAAAATGGGAAAACGTGAACATTTCATGCAAATAACTTCATGTGCCGGAACAACATCAACTTGCACTTATATAGCACCCTCCACACAGGGTAGAGTCTCAGAGCGCTTAAACCCCGATTATTATCATTATAAATACTGACAGGGTTCATAACATTAAGTTTCCTGGCCAACCAAGGCCCTTTGGTATACATGAGAGGATCAGGCAAGGCCAATTCATTCTGCTTTCTATTAAACAGAATATTAAGAATGCACGAAAACACAATTTAGTCTTACATGTCTCACACAATGCCGGAAAACAAAAGCACTTTAAATACTTTTTTAATACCTTACTATTTCTTACCATAAACAATAACTTTTATCTTCTTTTCCTTCACTGCAGGTCCACTCCGTACTTTACACTTGTAGCTCCCTTTGTCCGATGTGGACACTCTGTCCACGACAAGGACACTGTAGAATTTATTGACCCTGGGATTGGTTCGGTCAATTTTTTGTGTTGTTGAAGCACTTCTGTTTTCCTGGCAAACAAAGAAAGGATTGATTAGGCTTCCAAGTAGTTAATTTATAACTAAATCCTTGTTGTATTAACATTTCTATTTGCACAGTAATGAAAATGATACTTGAGTAAAACTAAAATCTGTGTTTATGTGCGGGGAATGTCCCACAATTTTATTGATATATTCCCCTAATAGGTTTCTTGTTGCATATCTTAAGGCACAGTCCCTTACATGTAGAGCAACACTTCATTTTTTTAATATGCTGTTTTCTCCCCTCCACCTCTCCTGAATCCAGCCCTGCCCATCTGCACAGCCAAACCTTTACTGGTCTACCTTTTAAACATTTGCTTTACTTTTATACAACTTTGCAGAAAATATAGAACAACACATCATTTCCATTTTTATCATGTACAAAATACACAGTCATTACACTTTACAATAGACGTCCACCTACAAATACACAGTCACTATATTTAACAGGAATTGCTGTGAAGTGCTCAGAAATATTTTGAGGTGGTAAGGCACCATTACCAAATTATTATTACACAGCAAACTAAATAATACAAATTCAGCAGGTAAATTCTTGTAGTGATGCAATGTAAATCTATTCAGTGGTATTCCTCAATACAGACCATAGCTGGATATTTGTGTAGCCAAGAAATGTGGTAAAATGAGCTCTAGTAATAACCTCAGAATATGAATAATGTAATACACTTAGTATTAATGCTTTCTAACTCATTATATGACTTGAGGTTGTTGTTTTGAACTTCACATAGGACTGGGGGGGGTTTTGTCAAACAAATGTATTCACGTACTCCACGTTTTTCCACAGCGCACAGTGGGTAGAGTGTGCACAATACCCTTTCCTGTGCTCAATTCAGAACATTCTGCACATTAACTTGAACAGGATGGGAGGGGAAATGTGAATTTCAGATTAGGCAGGGNTTTTTTTGGTGATATGCACACAACTGAGTTCCTCAAATCAAAACAAACTTAGAGAAATGTTTTGTCCGGCACGTTTTCCAGGTACCACAAAAACGTGGTCTTCAGTAGATCATTCCACAGTTTTCTCAACTGACAGATATGGTGAGGATAATCCCTTCAGTTGTCAAGTGACCAAAAGGAACGCTCCTTTATGACAGTTTCTAAACGGGAACCTGACTAATGGAGTTGTAATAACTTGTCCGATCTGGGAGTGTGTTTGTCCAACAGTTGTTTAAGTGAATGTGCTGAAACATTCAGTCTCGGGAAACAGAGCCTTACAAAAGAATGTGTCCCAATATGCAGAACATGATAAATCTGTATCGAATGACCAAAGTTTTCAAGAAAAGCAAACAGGCGTAAAAGAAACTGACATTGATTCGTGAAATGTCTTTGTTACACTTTCCAGATTTGTTTTTGTCTTTTAACTGAAGGTTTAACTTAAAGAGTCCATATTTGAAAGATTTTTNAAAAATATATGTTTGCACAGCATTTTGTTTAAAAAGTTTGCGCTGGAAGCTTACCAAAGAAAGAGCAAGATCGTGCTTATTCAGAGACTATGGAGAAAACATTCTGTTAGTGTTCTGCATTTTATTTTAACTTTATTTTTGAGCATGTAGATTTCCAATGTTATTTTAGCATCTGTTCATACAAACTTCTATTGCTACAAACTAATTTATGAGTTGTGCTAATCAGAGAAAACACAAAGGTAAAAAGTAATAATAATAATCCTTGCATGAATCCTTATCACATCAATGAGACGTCTCAAACTGCTTCACTGAATATATTGTAAAGTGGCTTGACTGTGTATTTTGTGAGCAAAATAATTTATATTTCAATTTAATTTAAATTGAAAGTAATTTCCAGGTGTCCTTAATTCCTATTTACAACCAATGAAAAAGATTGCAGGAGATTCCAGATGTCAGTCTGGCTGAGTTGGTAGCACTCTCACCTCCACATTGCAACGCTGGGTCTACAAAATGCACAGTCACTACACTTTATAGTCTACCTTGTGAAGCACATTAAGACATCTCAATGATGTGATAAGGCATTATATCAAATGGAAGGCTTATTACAATAATAAACTAGGCTGATACTCCAGTACAGTGTTGTGGGAGTATTTGCATGGTTGGAGGTCTTGTCTTTCAAATGAATTGTTAAACCAAGCCGTTCAGTGTCTTGGCCAACAATCCCCAAATACATTTTTTAAAAATTGATCATACATTCACTTGATGGCTGTTTGTTGGACAAATTGGCAGCCACAATCATCAATAAATTCACAATCGCTGTAGTTTACAGAAGAAAGAAAGATTTGGGCATGTTAAGATGTTATATCAAATGCAAGATTATTTAATAATATTTAACATTGTTGTTAAAGGCATCTGTCATTCCCTCTTTACACTTACCTTAAGCACAATCTGCGAATCAGAGACCATTATGTACCTCTTTAAAACTAAGCAAAATATCATTGTGCAAAGGCATATAAAATAAAGCGTCGAATAATGTTTTTTTTGAGTTTCCAGGCTCTTCCACCAATTCAAAATGTTCTTACGTTTGAAGCTGAAATGAACCATTTTTCAATGTTTCCTGATAATTCCTTGGGTAACCCCAGAAATAATGGTTGAGCTAATTCAAAAGAGTTTGGCTTCGAAGGGATCTGAAGAGTACAGTAAATCCTACATGACGATAGTTCAATAAATTAAACCTGGATTGACAGCTATGATGAAAGGCTGGGTGACCTGAGTGATATTCCTAAAAGAAGAGGAAATTACGGGCTCATTTTGAATCACAGAAGCATAGAATTATACAGCGCAGAAGGAGGCCATTTGGCCCATCGTATTGGTGCTGGCTCTTTTAAAAGAGCTATCCAAATCAATCCCACTCCCCCGCTCTCTCTCCCCATATCCCTGCAAACTTGTTCTCCCCAATTGAGATTTGATTGAGATATTTAAAATAATGAAAGGAATCGACAAGTTAGACAATGGATGACTCCTCTCTGGTAGAAGGATATATTACAATAAAAATAATAATCATTGCATTTGATATAATGCTTTCATTTTAGCAGGACACCTCAAAATACTTCACAGTATTTATGGTTTTCTAGTCACTTACCTTGCCAGGGTAGTCCCAGATAAACTGAATCCTTGTGTTCAGGCCTGTAGTCACTGTACACATGAGAGCGAGAGTTTCTCCGCTCACCATTTTGAGTGGACTAGTCGCATTGAGATGGATTTTCTTGATGTTATGAACTAAATATAAAAAATAATTAATACATACAATAGGAGCAGCATGATAGCATGCATATTGCAATGTTTTCTGAACTAACATTGCATTATATAATATACATTATATATTTCATACTATCCAATATATAGTAGGCTGGCCACTATTATGTATAAAATAAAAGTTTGACTTACTCAAGTGGTCTATAATACATCACACATGTAATATTTTTAACTCCTAATATCAAGAAATGTATTTATTTACAAATGCAAATTGTAATGTATTTATCATTTGCTAAATGCTATATTTTTCTAATATCTTTTATTCATAATATCTCTTTGCCAATTGTTCCTGTATTCAACTAAGCACCTGAAACACTTTGAGAGAGATGTTTAGTGTTGGATAACATTGAAATCTATTTTTATTTTGCACTTTTTTTAAAAAGAGAATTTTCAGCGAAGGCATTTATCAATGCATTTAGAGAGGTTTTAAATGAAAGTGTATTTTAACATATATTTTCAAAGGGGATAGTGCTAGTGCCAAGCATTTTGGAATTCAAACAACAAAAAGATGAATGTTCAAAAAGCATAATATAATTGTAAATTTCTACTGTAATGTATAATTTAAAGGCAACATAAATAGAAACCTAAAAGGATTAATGTAATGATTAATGTAATGATTAGACAAGATACGTCTCCTTCAAAAGAGATATCTCAAAGACAACGTATAGCGATATATATAAGATTTTAAATAGGATTTAAATAGTAAACCCAGAAGAATAATTTCAGATGTGCAGAGACAGCACAACAAGAGGGCATTGGTTTATGGTTACAAAGTATAGACATCAAGTCGTAATTATTTCCCCAAAGGCTAATTAACAACAGAACAAGTTACTAGAGAGGATAAATGGGGCCAAATCACTCATCTCATTTGAAAGGAAAAGTTTGGTGCAATAAATAAGGCAGTAGAGTGAGTATTCTGGAACAATGAGATCAAATGAGTCGAAGGGCCCTTTACTTCCAACCTCTCTTGTGATCTTGGAATGTGTACAAGATCATGGCAGGGGGTGAAAAAGGGAGAATACTTGGTGGGGAGGTGGGGGATAAACTGAATGGGAAAGTCTAAAGAATAATTAAAACACCTTCAATATATAAAACAGCAGCATTTAGCTCTTTATCAGCATGGGCCCTCTCCAGAGCATTGAACACACTATTTTCTTCTATATGTAGACTGGCATTCATAATATATCAGCATTCATAATGCACATAACTGTCAAAGGCCAACATTTCACCTTGCCTTGCCTGTTGACCATTTTGTCTCAATATTTATGATCACGCAAAATTGTGAAAAATTCTTAAATTCAGTCTTCATTTGGAAGCCCGCTTTTCACGTTTTTTTTTGGTGCTTCAGGGACTGTTAACTGGTGCCAAAGTAACAAAATAACTAGCAAATCTACTTAATTGGTGAACGTGAAAAAGTACAATACACTGAGCCTGCAAAGACCAGTTCTACTCATAGGAAATAACAAAAGGAAGTGAGGCTACAAACCCTGTCTGAATGTTAAATAAAAAGATTGAAACGTCCTCCCATTCATAGTCGTTTCACACGTCAGCAGACCAATAAATTTGTATGTGGGTCTGGGAATAACGAAGCCAAGTTTGCTGTCCCATTTAATCTCCTTCCCATCAACGGTGGAGGATGAGGAAAACTAAATGTGGAAAGACAGAATTTATGTTATTATAGTGAATCAGATATGGGTGTGAGCAAATCAATAATGGAAGCTGTAATTTCTATAGCAACGAGCAGAACATGAGAAAGTATAAAATAAAAACAAAGATCAAATTCGAACATTAGAGCGCATTTCAACAAATGATGGGAAAATTAAGACAATGCAATAATTTTAAATAGCAGAGTTGAAAATGTGCCAGGTGTTACTGTGTTTCGCGCACAAAATACAGTCAATTCACTTTACAATATATTCTGTAAAGCACTTTGAGTTGACTCAACAACGTGATAAGGCGCTACATCAAATGCAAGGATTATTATAATTACTACACTAATTGCAGTTTGCACCTGAAATTGCCTGAAATCCTAATCACAGCTGGCACGTTGCTTTTGAGGCATTTCTCGACATGACAACGCATCATATCAAATACAAGGATTACTATTAATAAATAGTTAGTAATCAATAATAATCTTTGTATCTAAGATAGCAACATGGACAAAATGCCTCAAAGATGTTACTGTGGAGTGAAATTAATGTACATTTTGTAGGTGAACAAAATAGGCAAATTAAGTAGACTTAATGGCCTGGTTATTATAAAAAATCAGATTAGCATTCTGTTGAGTGAAGGGGGAATGTCGGTTTACAGTGACAATACAGTGACATAACATCTATAATATTTTACTTGTTTGTTTCTTTGTTATTTTATTTTAGAGTCTGACGACATTTAGAACATAGTGTTTTAGATTTTAAAAAAACTTGGATGTTTTTAAATTAGGAAAAGATTTTCCTCCCCCACATTGGGATCTAAAATGAGACAATAATCTCAGTATTCCAAGTTGCACAAATGAAGTTCCTTCCTGGACCCGGAAGTATATTATACTGGTGCATGGGAACTCCACTCCGACAAAATTCACTTCCAGAGTTGAGTTCCCGCTGATCGGCAAGAACACTACAAGGATTCCTTGGTTGGTTTGATTAAAATGTTGTAAAAATTCATGACTGTTTGTGGGACATTGCTGGGTACAATTGGCTACTGTGTTTAACCCACAAAATATACTGTCATTTAATTTTACAGAATATTCTGTGAAGCGCTTTGAGACATCCAAACAATGTCATAAGGCGCTATATCAAATGCAAGGATTATTATTATTAGAACTTCTTCCTCATACCCTCCCTCAAATAAAAAGATGAGATGAGTAACTAAATCATTTGAATGTTTGGTGATGAATTTGAATGAAGAGCAAATATATCAGGATAACCAGGAAAAAAAACTCCAATTTGCTCTGAAATAGTGGTGGGGGTTAATATTTAATGTTTGCATGAATCCCACAGCAAACAGGACATAAATCTGCTAGAGCAGATGGTACAAATATCCATGCATTTGGCACTGTTAACAGCAGGCTCAGTCTGGCCTTAAGCTGGTTCCATCACAGTGGCATGCTTTACTGTGGGGGTGAGGGAAAGACCGCAGACCAGGTAGTGGTAGCATCAACACTGGGCGTGGAAACGTACTCTGCCCTTCAGGCGGATGGACGGAAACTGCATTGTGGTGAGCAGCTCCTGTGGGAAAAGGTGGCAAAATAAAAAAGGGATAAAAATAAAGCAAGTCCCATAGATTGCACTTTGCCAACCGGATGCTTTGATGCAAAAGGAAAAAATAATACAAAAGAAATGTAATTGCTTAGACTTTTCCCATGTTTTTCAGTCAAGGGTTTTACAGGGTGGGATAGCAGAGAAGCCTCAAATAGGATGTGCTAAACGTGCCTATGCAGCTATCTCATTGACTTCCTGTTAACACAGGATACAGACCTACTGTCTCTGCTCTGTCCTGCCAACTTGGGTGTTCAATGGAAATTCCTATCCATGGTTTACATTCCTAACTGGGACATACCTTACTCCATTCCTGCACACCAAATATTCTTTTGTAATTTGACAGAGAAAGATGCATGAAACATTTCAGCAATAATGATCCTCATGTTTAAATCAACGAAAGAAAAATGAAATTGCTAAGGACTGTATTTTGCGACTTATTTTTCTGGGATGTCTGTTGATTGCAGTAAAAATAAAGATATTTGTGAATGCAGGGATTCTTCCCAAACCTTGTGAAATGCTGCATTTCAAATTTACGTCAGTTAATACATTTAGAAATGAACCAAAATTAAAAATCTAGAAACCTTGAAAATCGCTAACTTGTGTTAATACATTTTGTTTTCACTTTTGGTTGGATGAGAACATAAATAGGTAAATCATTTCCTTGCATTTCTAATAAATGATTAAATTTAAACTTGCTTGAATCTCAAACTGTCCGAATCTCAAACCATATCAACCTGTCCACTCAGCAGACTTCCCTTCAAGCCTGCTCCACATACCCCACCCAACCCGCTCCATCACTGGTGATCGGGCCTTCAGCCTCTCTGCCCCCACCCTTTGGAACTCCATCCCACATTCCCTTCACCTCACTCCCTTCCTTGCCTCCTTCAAGGCACGTCTCAAGACCCTCCTCTTCGACCGCACCTTTGGCCACCATCCTACCCTCCCTGTGCTCCACCCTCCCTGATCCCAATCCCCCTGCTCGGGTCCAAATGCCCAGCACCTTGGGATGTCCTCCTGATGTGAAAGGAGCTATACAAATGTAATTTTGTATTGTATTGTAATCTCTCCCACCTATTGATAGCAATACTCTTTCGAGGTGCATTTCTACCTACCATCTTCAGTGAGACTTTGAGGTCTGGTGCTGTGACCCTGCATGGAATTACTAGCTTCTTCCCGTTGCTCATGTGCACGGCTTGAGGGATTTGTGTGTGTGGATTCACGAACGGACTGTTCTCATCTGAAACAAGGGAAACAACATCAAACTGAGTTACCGAATTGCTATTTGAAGATACAGTAATTTTGAATTCAACTGAAGTGTGAAAACATTGATTTGGGTTAAAATGAAGGCAGTTGTCTTGAAAACCATTGTCAACATAATTAATTTAGGGTTACATTCTCTAGGAAAGCAAACATTTATTCTAAACTACCTATTGAATGAATTGCCAGAAAATCTTTACACTGTAAATATTAAGCTCGCTGTCACTTACTTAAGTGACATTACTTAAGGTAGATCATTCATTCAGAATCAAGGTTAAAAACTAGTGAACATAAAAACATAAAAATAAATCACTTTACCTAATTTAAATTCTTAGATGAATTAAAATGCCGTTTATAAATAACAATAAATTGGTCACTTAATCCACGACTGTTTGTGGGACACTGCTGTGCGCAATTGGCTGCTGCGTTTCCCCACAAAACATACAGTCAATTCACTTTACTTTATATTCTAAGAAGCATTTTGAGATGTCTCAAAATGTGATAAGGCACGTTATTAAATGCAAGCATTATTATTATTTGTAAAATGTCTACAATATATTCCACTACATGTGATTGGACAAATATGATTTCATGGTTCAGGGAAGTCACAATTGTGTTAACATCTAAATGTGCTGAAAAATATATTTAATAGCGCTTTAGAAATTCAATATTCAAGGCCAACCTAGCTCAGTTGCTAAAACTCTTGCCTCTGAGTCAGAGGGTTGTGGGTTTAGCCCAACACTGGGACTTTGAGCTCAAAATACTGGCTGAAATTCTGATGCAATGCGGAGAGAGTGCTGCATTGTCAGAGGTGCCATCCTTCGGATGATAGGTTTAACCGAGGTCATTTTTGCCTTTTCAGGTGGGCATTAAAGATCGCGTGGCACTATTCAAAAAGAGAAGGGTGTCATATCTGCAGGGAGCAAAAGAATACGATTTTTTTCTCACTGAATCTCATAGAGCTGATTCATATGCTTGAAAGGAATCAGGAATCAGCATAACCGTAATACCAAGCCCAGACCTATCCATTAGTTGAGATGGGGAGGCACACGTTTGAATACATTAAATGTAATCTGTTTTTCATCTGTACTAATTCCTTAATTCTGAACTTTTTTTGGTCACACGGGAAACATGCGGGAAATCTATCATCATGATTTAAAATATTCGAACCAGACTGAGAGTTCCACATATGTATATCACCTACACACCTAATTATGACAAGTACTATGATACAAAATTACATCCCAAGATGCTGGACAGTCAGGGATTTGGATCTGAGCAGGAGGTCCAAATCCCCCCAAATCTCCAAATTAGGGGCAGGTTGGCAAGAGCTACACCTGGGAGACCCAAGAGTTGAGGTACTGTTGGAGATTAACCAACTAAAATGGCACAGCTTGTCATTGAGAACAATGTGACTCATCTTCCCTTACACATGATGAGCCAAGCTGGCTGGTCTGTCAAACACAGTGCCCTGGGACACTGCATGCCCAAGTGGCTCAGGAACTGGATGGCTGGGACTGCCATCAGCAGAGGGTTGGCTTGATTCCAACATTCTGTTCCCAAGCACGTTACCTTGGAGCTGGCTCAGCACTGATAATTTTCCACACAAGGTGGGTAGTGAATCAAACTGGGTCAATTTCAACCTAGAGTCAATTTTGGTCGAGATTCGCATTATATTCAAAGTGCAGCAAAAAAGTGGTCTTATCCATCAGTTGATTTAATAACTCATATCTGATAGATAATTCTTGTTCATATCTTACCAACATATTCCCTTGCTGTTACAGTGTATTTTGAGTCTGGCATTTCTATTGTCTGTGGTTCCATGCTGAGAAAAAGGCCAGAAGGAAAAGAGGCACCCATAGGACCACTTAACCACATGAAAGCCTTGATTTCTTTTCTTTTCATTTGATGAAAGTTGCATTATGAAAATGAGAAACGTGTTTACTTTGTTACATAAAACACACAAAGACAGACACACCCTCAACATCATTACTAGGGAGAAGAACTAATTATTCCCTTATGGACTATTTAGAATGGCATGAAATGGGGGGAAAAAACTACTTTCATGCACAGAAAGTCTGGCATTCTGGCTTCCTGAGAATCACCATCTTATTGTAGAGATCAGGAGAAGCAATAGGAAGAGGTGCTGGGTATTATTGCATGCAGACAGAGTGTCACCAGTAACTGCAGCCAACAGTACACCTATGGGACTGCCTCTAACTTTAACCTCAGTGCCCTCAGTACTGGGAAATGTTGCAGGAAATGACAGCTTTCTACAGAAGCCACCACCAAGAGCTCCTGTTTTTGAACAGGGATCCTTTGGAAGATTAAAATTACGCAACTACTTATAATTTATCCAGCCATAAATGTAATTTTCCAGGAAATGAGACACCCAACAATCCACTGAAAAGGAGAAATACAGAAAGCAATTAATGCCTGGATGCCACAGTATTTTTTTCACGTCAGACTCTGACAAAAGAAAGTGTAAAGCCCTGTGCAAAGGTCAGATATTGTTACTAAGAGAGACATCACTTGGAGGCAAGATAACAGAATGACATTCAAACACTACTTAGATTAATCTAAACATCTTCAGGGCAAGCACTTCCCATTGTTAATTCGTGGCAAAAAGAGCAAAGTTCACATGCAGGAATTACCTAAAGAAATTAGTTGAGATCACTTGCATTTGAAGGCAAAGTACACATAAAAAGTCAAAATCAATGCAAAAAATTGTCATAATTAACAATTTGAAAATTTATAGTGTAAAAGCTAAACAATTCAAATCAGATGAACAACATTTTGTACGATACCCACTGCTAACCAGCAGAACATTTTCTATTGAACCTCAAAGAATTCTGGTCAAGCTAAAACAGCAGATTAACCCAATACTAAATGTTCAACAACTCTGGAATGAGTAACGAAATAGGAAACAGCTCTGAAAATAGCGAATTTATGTCCTGCTGAGCAACTGGTCTCCAATCCATCCACCTTGGTTATTTTTTTTAATGTAAACAACACTGTTTTGCAGCTAAACCACAATGGGGAGGATAAGGCGTCTGAGAATAAGGAATAAGGTTTAATTAAATGAATCATTGTTAACATTGAAGCTGGTTTAGTCTATGAGTTGTGTGTGAAAAAAATGTAGGGCAACGAGCAAACAAGCAAATTTTGAATTATAGGCAAAAAAATGTGAATAAACCACTCTACGGTATGGAGGGGGGACAATGAACAAATCTCTGTGAATATGTAGACGTTTCACCCACAAAATACACAGTCAATCCACTTTACAGTATACTCTGTGAAATGCTTTTGAGACATCTCAAAGACGTGATAAGGCACTATATCAAATGCAAGGATTATTATTATTATAATATTATTTCACCCAGAGGGTAGTGAGATTATGGAAATTGCTACCTGAAGTGGTGATTGAATCAGATAATATAGATGCATTCAAGAGGAAGCTAGACTTTCACTTGCGGGAGAGGGGAATAGAAAATTATGGGAGGGAGTAAGGAATGGGTAAAGACTCATGTAGAGTATAAACACGGACATAAACTGATTGGGTCGAGAGGCCTGTTTCCGTGCTGTACACTCTTTATAAAATTGTTCCTGCATTAAAATAACAATGAATGCACAGCTTCTATCTGGTACATCACCTGTTGCCTGCATTGAGTTATTATTTTTCAAAACACTGCACTGTCTTGAATGTTTGCATTTTCAAAATTAAATGCACGTTTTGCCTGATTCTGCACTGGGTCTGATAAACAATAACAACTTGCATTGACATAATGCACTTCATGCAGGATAGGATGTTGGAGCGCTGATAAATGATCAGTCATGGATTAAGATCAGAAACTAAACTGAAACAAACTCATTGAATCTAATCTGGCCCAAATAATGGTCACATTTGTTGAGAGAGATATGCAAGTACAAATGTATCAAAAATATTGCTTTATGGATCTCTTACTTCTTGCCCTTCTTCCTGTGTATGAATTGTCCAAAGTTGGGAAGGTGGGTGGTGGAAAGGTGGGATGTTGGGAAGTTGCAACAAACAGACCAAACTCTGTAGCCATTCTTGCATGATTCTCCTTATTGTGAAATACAACGGATTTGGGTAAAAGGCAGGTAAGGGGACTGAATGGAGAGCTCTTTCAGACAGCCTGATTGGCCGAATGGGCTTTGCAAGAGACTGGTAGCAGCTGAGACCAGCTTCAATGTTTAAGGGTAAGGAGTGAATTAGTTAACCTCCTTCCTCATTAAGAAGTCATTTGTTCCAGCACAGCGTAGACATGAGATAGCAGTGATTGCATTGCATTTCAAGAAAAATAAATAAACTGGTGGAGTGAAGGGTTGGCTTGTGAAATATTTTGAGACTTTTGACGTGATAAGGCCCGTCAAAATGTAAGTTCTTTCTTCTTCCAAATAGAGTAGGCAGCAGTATATCTTACTGGTCGATTGCTAATTATCGTGCAGCAAAAAGAGGAATAATTCCTAATTTACATGGCTGATAAGAAAATTAATTTATAAAGAATGAGTTATCACTTCCTTTTTCAAGCAGCAGTGACTTTTGGTGTGGTTTATGTGTTTACAGACAATGCAAACTTTAAATTTGCATTTTAACCATGGGGAAAAGGAAGATCAGTGGCCCTCATGGAACTAATTTGGGAAGTTGACTAAAACAATGTCCTTCCACAGGAAACAATACAGGTCAGCTAGTCATTCTGATTTTACCGCAATCTGTTTCCCAAGTACTGATATATGCTGAAAACATTGGGGAGATTCTTTTTAACTAAGCGAGTATAGACTTCATTGGAGCTCATCAACCTCCTCACATCAACCTCCAGACACTCTAGTTGCACTAATATATGTCAAAAAGGTCCTGATATTACAGTGGAACAGAAATATGCCTTAGCTATTTCCCGGATCACCTCGATCTTTAGTTGCACAATAAGAATTAGAACAATTGCTTCACTCTTCAGTGGTCATGGTTGAATTTAACGTGAACACTGCAGATAATACTCTGATAGAACAGTTCATATATCATATATTCAAACTCATAAATATATATATACAAATATAAGCATTGTAAAATAGGCTTTCAGTGGTGTTCAAATAACATTTTGCTTGTTTTTGACATAGTTTAATGCCATTAAACCCCCTGCACTGTGCAACTGCCTCAAAGCTCACTTATAACCATCTATTAATGTACATGTTTATATTGAACCATCCACACTGAACAATGCTAAAGCAAACATTTTGGCTAGAGCCAACCTACTTTTCTGCACCTAGATATTTGGCTCTTTATTTACTTTAACAATTCAATTCATAACTCAATCATGGATTGAAAACTGATAATGATTTTTCAAGATTAAAAGCATGTTTATAAATCAATAATATCTAGTCTTACCCTTGACAAATATATAGATTTGAGTCTTTTCTTTCCCAGATAAGCTGGAGTTTGAAGATATGGTGTTGCAGGAATAATATCCTGTGTCTTGACCCAGAGCTTTATTTAAAGTCAGGTTACTACAGAAGAGTCTGTCATTATCCTCACAGCTGAAGTGAATGATACGTAGTTTTTCACTTCCATTAACGATATGATTTGGCCAAGACCATGATATTGGTGCCGATCCCCTGGGGAGAAAACAAACAAATATGTTCAGATTCATATTTCCTAACAAGTAATGCATCATCAACACATGGAGGTACCACTTTGATACCTGTTTCACTGGACCAGAGACAGAAAGCTATAATTACTATCAAAAATCAGACCTGGATTAAATCCTTTTCAGATATATAGTCACCTTGTGTTGTGTAGATGTAATAAAATGGATGCTCTATTCAGAGACACATAATTGTCACACTGCTAAAATCCTGTTTTTTTTAGTAATTGCAATCGTTAGTTGTCATCACGAAATAGTTGTGGCCCAGAAAATATACAGTCAAACCACTTTACAATATCTTCTGTGAACGCTTTAAGACATCTCAAAGAGGTGATAAGGTGCTACATCAAATGCAAGGATTATTATTATAATTATCACAACATAAGCGGACTATCCATATCCTTGAAGCATTGCAAAGGAGTTACAACAACTCTGATTCTTGGGATAAACTATGAGGAATAAATAGACTATTTAGAGCTCTCCAAACTTACAAAAATGACTTGCAAACTCTAGTCTCTGTAATCTGGAGCAGCAATGAAGCAGAACATTTTTGGGTCTAACTATGATGCAAGTTTTGGAGAGGAATAATTTCCTACAGCCTTGGCATAATTGTTGGGCCAGAGATTTCTCTTCTCAATGTTATCCTGTGAAGCAGTATTCAGACACTAGCTCCTGGGTGAAAAATATATCAGACCTGTTTCACGATATCCAAAGTGACTGCAATCCAAACTGCTGTGCTAAATTCAGGAAGAGTTAGGAGGGAAAATGTTCAGTAAAATGCATTTTGGAATTACTTAATTCCTCATTTATCCTGGTGTTAATTTTGTTGCTGTGGGTATCACAGCCCAGCCAGGGATCCATTCTCTGTGTCCACACAAGCACATCTTCAAATTGCAAGTTCTGCAAAGTGATCCGGATTGGATATGCTGGTTGATTTCCTCTCCTTAACGCAGAGTATGCTTCATGAATGTGAATTTGTGTGGGCACCAACGTATGGTGGACGGGCAATAGTCAAAGGTTTTCATTCCTAGCTACTCTCTTCGAGAGAGCCGGAGCAGGAGATACCATATCTTTATTTAGCTCTCTTTCTGTTGCACTCCTTACTGCCTCTTAGCTCTTGTTCCAGCTCTCCTCCCATGACTTGAGGTATGAGGCAGTGGGGAGAGCAATTGGTGGACCTGGATGCTAAGGTGTGCAGAGCCCTGGTGCGTTTAGATGAATTATAATAACATAACATGTAGGAGCAGGAGTAGGCCATTCGGCCCTTCAAGCCTGCCCCGCCATTCAATCATGGCTGATCTTCTAATCTAACTCCAGCTAATAACCTGATCCTGCCTTATCCCCATATCCCTTAATCCATTTTGAATAAGAAATCTATCAATCTCAGTCTTGAATATGTTCAAGGACTGAGCGTCAACAGCCCTTTGGGGTAGTGAGTTCCATACATTCACCACCCTTTGAGTGAAGAAGTTCTTCCTCAACTCAGTGCGAAACGGCTGGGCTCTGATTTTAAGGTTGTGACCCCAGTGTCACTCATTTGAGATCAGATAATTTAACACAGATCTGGATTAAATCTGGATAATTCCCAGTCTGCATCACTAAGATACTCTTTGGAAACAATTGCTTTTTTTGTTCAGCCATGTGTCTGGTACATGTGGAAACCCATCCCCATACTTAAGAGTATCCAAACCAGACAGAGTTCCACAGAGTATCTCATCTACCCATGGTAATTTCTTTGTGTCTAATAGAATGTATACTCCCTCCCTGGAGGAATATATCCAATTTACCTAAATCCTGAGAGTTTAAGGTTGGCAAGAGCCACTGCTTGGGGTCCCAGCTTGTGAGTACAGTACTCCTGGAGTTTAACCAGCTAAACCCAAACAAAACTGACTGAAGTCTTGCAGAATCCAAATCTCTATGATGAAGGAATTCTTCTGAAACTATCTACAATATACAGTCAATTCACTTTACAGTGTGTTCTGTGAAGCGCTTTGGGACGTCCTCCTGACGTGAAAAGCGCTATATCAAATGCAAGGATTATTATTATAATGTTTTATACACAACATAAATTCATTTTCTACACAAATCTCTTTTTCGTTCACCAGTTTGGGACAATCTTACGCAGAACTATTTTCAAAACATATTTCCTGGTGTCTTATCGGGTATAACTATTACTCCAAGCTTACCTGCAAGTCACCTGCAGTGTCTGGTTAACATTGATGATATGCTGCATAGCTCTAAGGCTGAGTTTAGGAGTGAGGAGGTTTGGTTTAGAAATCAATCCTGCAAAAAACATGAAAAATATTTTTTTTCCTTAGCAATTCTCAAATTAGTCAAATAAGATCTCATATCAAATGAAAAGGCACATATTACAGTAAAACTTGCACAAGTCTGATCAGTATAAATCGTATAATCACCTAATTCCACGTACATCTGCCCAAATACATTCAAGACTTTATATTCTATGCAAGTTTGACATAACTCATACTTTTCATAAGTCCTATTAAATGTATGGTCCCAAATGATACGACTTATGTAAGGTTTACTGTAATTACCTTTGCCATAGAATCTACCAACAAAACTTGAGTGCGGACCTGAAGCTGAGTAGATAAGGTTGTATTTTAAATAAGGTCACAGGGGTATTCTGTCCAGCTATATATAAATTATGTTTTGGCTTTTTATTTTTAAAGTATTTTGAACAATTATAGTAATAAGATATAGGAAAACAGTGCCAACAAATTATAAGGTAGGGGTTCTGCGGGAGTTGTACAAAGCAATGAATACTTTTAATTCACAATTGATTCAATCCAGGAAGCTTTATTATACTGTGTTTCCTTCAGGCCCAAATGTTCACAGAAAGCTACAATTCCAAATTCAATAGAACGTTACCCCCATATCCTTTTCAATTTTACAACTTTGTTCTGTCTAATAAACCAAGAGTCCAGTATTGTTTCATTATCAAAGTCGTTTCTTTCAAGGTCTGCATTCGTGCAAATTCATCTCCTTTGAACGCCCTGACCTTGCTCTGGGATGTTTGAGAAATAGCATTATTCTATTATACTGTGAGTTGATCTCATACTTCAGGTGTAAGTCTCAAATGCCTTAGCAAAAAAAAAAACAATTGCTCTTGTTTGAGGCTTTCTCTGTGTTTCAATGCTAAGTTATTAGCTGAACAACCCGAAATCCTACATTTGATAGCAAAAATATCTGTTAGCATGGTGAATAAATTCAGCTATCTCCTTTATAGATCTGATCTCAAGGGGATGCAGCAGAGAGAATTTTTTGCAAAGTCTTGGATCGAGCAGTGATGTGGATGAGTGCCAAACACGGGAAGCAGCTTCAGGGATGGAAGACTACACAGACTTGTCACTAGAAGCAAAGTCAGCTTCACAGTGGGCACATCTATTTGTCAATGCCCATCACATGAGGACCTGGATTAACCAACTGGTGCTGAGTAAGCCTGGTACATGGCATTGGACTTGGACATTAAGAACGTCAAGCTAGCTGGCACATTACAAGCTGTCCTAATACGATCCTCCCACCATGCTGAAGGCAGATAGCCATCAGATAGCTGATGAGGAAACTCTGGGACTTGGGGCGACAGCTGCTGGAAGGCACCACCTGGAGTCCCAGTTAATGAATATGCGTTGGAACATCCAGTGTTTGGAATCCATCTTGATTGGCTTGCAGCGAGGTAACCAGCTGCTTGCTTAAACTCTGCACTTCCAACTGGCGGAACCATCCCTCAACAGGAAGGGATGTGTGTCCAAGCTGTGGTCAGGATGATGGTGGCAACACTCTCAGGCTGGCTCATCTGTGGGATTTGGAAGTATAGACCAGGATATGGGGACAGGACCCCTCAGCTCCTGTTAACCCTGCAAGCCAAAACCGTAATAGATAGGGTGGTCCAAGCTGGACAAGCAGCAGGAAAGCTTGCCAGACAGTGCAAACTATGCAGTTTTAGCTGGTTGGACTCCAACAGTACCCCAATGCACACTCTCTGGGGTCCGTAAGCCTTGGTTCTTGCCAACCTGCACCTAACACTCTCCAGAATTAGATAGGCAGGATGCATTCCTCCAGAGAGAGACTGTATATTCATTCCAATAAATCTCTCTGGAATTTCAATATAAAGGTGGTATACATGGAACTCTCAGTTTGGTTTGAATACTTACTTATTTTATTTGATAAAAATATATTATCCTCTGAACAAATGGATATTTAACAATCCTGTTCTAAAAATAACCTGCATTTCTTCCTCAAAAATGAAAACGGGGGTTCTAATAATTAGTTATTACATTTCCAGTACAGAGAGACCCAGACTAGACTGCAACCTTATCTCACAGACATACTTGTCTATTCTCAGTGCCTTATTTTCATGGGTTCAGAGGGAGGTTGAGGGGGGGCAGGAAGGGGAAGCCTGCAGTCCTATTCCACACTGAAGTGCTTTGCTGGCCGACAATTCACAATACGTGTTGACAGAAAGAGAGAAGTCACAATATCTGCTGCAGTGTGAATTTTTGCTTTTTTAAAAAAAAGGAGGAAACAGTTATTTTACCTTTTAATTGAACTAAAATAATATATCAGTTCTGTCAGCAGGCATGAATGAGTGATGTCATATTGTTGTGTCAGCATTACTATGTTTTTCTAAAACTATTAACTATTGGAGTGATAGTCCTCCATAGACTGGCAATCCAAATACCTATTAGAATAAATACAAAACAACAATTTTACATTTATAAACAACAACAACAACAAGATTCCATTTATAAAGCGCCTTTCACGTCAGGAGGACGTCCCAAGGTGCTGCACAGTTGGGTCATGACCCGAGCAGGGGGGAAATGGTCAGGGTGAGGGGAGGGAAGGGAGGGAGCGAGGAGGGGGGAAATGGTCAGGGTAAGGGGAGGGAAGGGAGCGAGCGAGGAGGGGGAAGAGAGTCGAGAGGGGAGCTGAAGGCTCGGTCAAAGAGAATAAAGTGTCTTTCATGTTGTGAAGATAGCTCACACAGCTGATTAGGAGCCTGAGCTGGGGGATACTGGAAAAAGAACTTGCATTTTTATAGCAATTTATCAAATCGGGAAACAGTATCTCAAAATGCTTCACAAGTGATTATTGTCAAGCGTTGTAACTGTTTTTGTAGAGGAACACAGAAAGCCACCAAATAGCCATGTGTTGAATGATGAGTGCAAGAACAGCATCAGGGGATCTTTGACATCCAACTGAGCAGGTAGATGGGATCTCAGTTTTATATGATGAGATACGTCAAACAATGTTACACTAAAGTATCAACTTAGGCTATGAGCTCAAGTGAAGAACAAACTTACATATTTATAGCATGCTTTCATGTCAAAATATACATCTCAGATAATTGCTATCAAGTAAAGAGTAGGCAAATGTGTTTTTTGTAAGCATGAATTTAAGCTAGCAAGCTCACACTGTCAGTCATGAGATGAAGGCACAACTAATATGGAGTTCTGTTGACCAGGAAAAACTCTTCACAAATAGTATCTTCACATGTAACATCCTTCTGCTCAGACCAATGGGACCTAGATTCAAAGGGCAGATTCTCTAACAATACCAAGCCCTTACTGATATTGTACTTAAGGATCAGAATTGGCTTTGACCTCATCATGCCCCACTGTGGAACATGAACCCATAATTTTCTGACTCAAAGGTAAAAGTGTCACTGGCTGAGAGAAACTGATTCTTCTCGTGGATATTTTAGTCTGAATTTCAGGCCTGGGGGAGTGGAGGATGTTGATGATTATGTGATGGTGGTCAATAAAATTTACAGACTGGATAGACAAGAACATTGTATTCACTGGTGTTCTGTCATTTTTACAAGACTTGTCATGTGACTCTATAATTGGATCATGATACTGATCACCCCAACTTAGATTTACTTCTAAAATTAACAACATTGAGAATTAAAGCTCTCACTTTAAAACTGGCTGTTGTTCTTTCATTTTCACTCAGCAAGATAAGGTAACCAGCTTCCTGGCTTCTTCCAGTTTCTCGTGAAAACCAATAGTTTAGAAAATACTCTTTTATCCAATTTTCTCTTCTAGCTTGGAAAAACACCAAAGGCTCAAAAAGCTCTTATGGTCCTGACTATTGTCTTAACATTTAAGATCACCCACAGTTTTCAAAATTCTTAAATTCAGTCCTAATTTCTTTAAGCACTGTAAAAATCTGGCTGCCCAAGTTCAATTTGAATTGATAATAATCCTCACTCCAAGATGCTAACCTGCATGAAGAGCGCCATATAAATACATTTTTATTTATAAACTCTTACAAACTTCTGCATAATCTTTTATCAGAAGGTCTTAAGGCTGAGATCATGAGAAATTTCAGATCCCAAAGTTGCTTCCTTGGCACATCTCCATAGTTGCCAAAAATCACGTCCATGTTTACGTGCAGATCTCTCAAGATACCCACATAAACAGTGCCAAGATCCCATGGCACCATTTGAAAAGAGAAAAGAGCTTCTTGCATTGGCCTACCGAACAATTTCAGAGCTGTATGTCAGTCATCGCTGTGTGCAAATTGGCTTCCTCATTTGCCTACAAAATACAGTCACTACACTTTACAGTAATTCCAGTGAAGAGCTTTGAGACATTTTGATGATTCGATAAGGAGATTACTAATAGTGCATTAAGGCAGCATCAAAGAGTGACAATAATAATAATAAAGGTGAATAATGAATTGAAACAATTTTGTCCCTATATTAAAAAAGGGAAGGGATATGATTCAGGTCTTTCAAATGATGAGAAGTATATATAATGTTGACATGTGCAGTTTACAAAACTGAATTTGAGCAAAGCATCTAATTTCCAACTTTCCAGCAAGGCTTAAAAAAGACTATAAAAATATAGATTATAAGATGATTTGCTTAAGAGAACTGTTTCACTAGTGGAATCATTCTAAAACTATTTGAACAGCAAAATAAACAACTGAAAAGTGGATAATGCTTTGTGGTTGAAGGCAACAATGGGAGGTTCGATACAAGTCTGGTTCAGAAAGGAATGCAAGGTTAAAAAGATAATTATAGACAAAGTTGATGACGTGCGTTATGAAGCACTGCTCATCATGTCATGCTGGGACTATGGAAATGTCCATTGTTAATGTAACCAGTTAGATATGAATTAAGTAAACATGAAATTGATATCTTGCAGTTTCCATTCATTTGTTTTCTGTGGTAGGACTTTATTTTCCTGGAAGTTTTAACTTTTATCCATAAAAGATAAAGAAAGTCCATGATATAAAAATTATATATATTTGTGTCC